AAAACAAATAAAAAAAAAAAAAAAAAAATGTAAAAAAATTAAATGTTTTTTTTATATTTGTAGATAAAACATATTAAGTATATAGTCCTTTTATACAAACGTAAAGAATTAACACTGCACTTAAGTGCAATGTAAACTGTCTATTAGGTAATTATATTGTTTTCATCATTCCTGATTGCGATAATTAGATTAGAGATTAGATTTTAGTCTTTCAATAATTTAAAAGAAAAATTATGATTTTTTTTATTTTTTTAAAAAATTATTGTTTATGAAATAAATAAAAAAAAATACTTACATTAACCGCGCTAACCCCAATAACCACAATCCACCCCCATCCTCCGTCTGGTGGCACGAGTTTTCTATTTTCCATAAACATGGTGCTAAATTATCTGAAAATAAGAAAAAACAAAATTATAAAGGCCCAGATTTACTAAATAACCACCCTAAATACTTTTTTTGGTATCAATTTACCGCAAACTCAAAATAAATCAAAGTTATATAAAACCACAGCTTATTCAGTATCAGCTGGTCATCTAAGCCTATTCTCGTATACGTGCCAGCAGTCAGAGCATCAGTAGCGATAGGTTTTTGTTAACAAATGTCCTAGATAACCATCATAAACCATTTTTTTGGTATCAATTTACCACAAAACCAAAAATAAATAAGACAAAAAAAACATTAAACATAAAACCACAGCTTCTTCAGTACCAGCTGGCCATCTACATCTATTCTGGTACACATGCCAGTAGTCAGAGCACCAATATCGATAGTTTTTGTGGCAAAAATGGGCGTCGAATAAGCTGAGACGCTGCTTGAGCGGTTTCAAATTGTAAGCAATATATTTTTTAAATTTCCAAAATAATTCATAATTTCAATTTATTTTAAAAACAGTAAATAAGAAAATAATGCTTCTATAGCCCATAAAATAACTGTACTTATATGAGATACACTCTATATATAGTATAGTAAATTTATTCTCATTAATGAACTGTAATTATATTTTTATAACATATCAAAAAACCGACAGATATAAAATAAAAAATTAAATATGCTTCTGATGTACTTATTGATCGATATCGATCAATAGTAAGTACTTAGTACGATGTTTTTCTATATTATACTGATTTAACCTTCATTTTGTCCTTGCACACATCGAAAAACAAACAAAAGTTAAAATAAATTCAATTATTATTGCACTAATTTATATTGCAGAATTATAATAATAAAAGTAATTGTTTTACTCCATTAGATGTATATTATTTCAGCATTATTTCTAGGATACTTATTATAATGTCTTGTAGTATGGATCATAATGCCATGGGCATTATAATTCATACTACAAAGGCATTATGATCTATTAAGATTCTAGAAACTTTATAATTATAAAATTAATTACTTGTTACTTCATTAGTATTTCTGCATTATTGAGAGGATGACTATTATAATGCCTTGCATTATGCCTTGCCTATTGGCATTATGATCTATTAAGTCCCTAGCAAAATATTTGCCACAAAGCACAGATTACTATGCCCATGAGATATTCACCACACATTTGTATTAAAAATTATCCAAAAAATACGTATTAAAATCTTGTATGTACCACAGACAATAGTATACGAAAATGTCTATCGTGGGACAAATATTATTCATCATGCCAATGTCCTGAAGGCATTTAATCTACCAAAATATATTTCTTTTACTTGTAAAGTTAAAAACCCTAAAAAAATCTATTAAATACTTACATTATTCAAACTAAAAACAGTTAATTGACATTAATTTCTATCACACATCATAATAATCACAAAAAATCACAGTACAAAATGAAGAAAATTTCATCTGGTTTAAATCACAGTCATGTAATAACTGAGATTCTTTTAAGTCGAATGACGCTGGTTTTAGCCTATAAATGGCTAAAAAAAATACAATGTTATTATCTTCGAGGTGTTATCGCTAATTGGTGGGCACTTGACATTATTATCTATATTATTTCTTATTTATCTAGCAAATGTAGCACCTTGTTCAGTAATTATTATAAATTTTTAATTCAAATATATCTTTCTTATCGAACAAGATTTGATTTACCAGAGAAAAAATATTCTGTTTTGTTAAAAATATAAGGATGGATATTGTCTCTGTAAGAAACTCTCGCCAATATATACAAAGAAGCCTAAACAAGCTGTTTACAGGAACATTAGAAGAAATCTTCCGTCAACTGGACTGGGCCAACAAAGGACTAAAAATAGATGGAGAATATGTTAACCATCTCATAAGCCAACATCAACATGTACTGATTTCTTTCGAAAATCGACAACTATGAAACTATGACCCCTTCCCCGACACAAACGGTACATTGTGAGACAGGAAATTGTAGAGAGAAACAAGCCCTATAACATAGGATACAACATTTTAATGAACAGTGCTTTCCATAAAATCAATAAAATGAAAAATATACGAAACAATATATAATGTTCTGATTTCTTTCGAAAATCGACAACTATGAAACTGTGTATGAAACTATGATCCCTTCCCCGACACAAACGGTACATTGTGAGACAGGAAAATGTAGAGGGAAACAAGCCCTATAACATAGGATACAACATTTTAATGAACAGTGCTTTCCATAGAATCAATAAAATGAAAAATATACGAAATAATATACATGTACTGATTTCTTTCGAAAATCGACAACTATGAAACTATGATCCGATTCCTTCCCAGATACAAACGGTACATTGTGAGACAGGAAATTGTAGAGAGAAACAAGCCCTATAATATAGGATACAACATTTTAATGAACAGTGCTTTCCATAAAATCAATAAAATGAAAAATATACGAAACAATATATAATGTTCTGATATCTTTCGAAAATCGACAACTATGAAACTGTGTATGAAACTATGATCCCTTCCCCGACACAAACGGTACATTGTGAGACAGGAAATTGTAGAGAGAAACAAGCCCTGTAACATAGGATACAACATTTTAATGAACAGTGCTTTCCATAAAATCAATAAAATGAAAAATATACGAAACAATATATAATGTTCTGATTTCTTTCGAAAATCGACAACTATGAAACTGTGTATGAAACTATGATCCCTTCCCCGACACAAACGGTACATTGTGAGACAGGAAATTGTAGAGAAAAACAAGCCCTATAACATAGGATACAACATTTTAATAAACAGTGCTTTCCATAAAATCAATAAAATGAAAAAATACGAAATAATATACATGTACTAATTTCTTTCGAAAATCGACAACTATGAAACTATGATCCCTTCCCGGACACAAACGGTACATTGTGAGACAGGAAATTGTAGAGAGAAACAAGCCCTATAACATAGGATACAACATTTTAATGAACAGTGCTTTCCATAAAATCAATAAAATGAAAAAATACGAAATAATATACATGTACTGATTTCTTTCGAAAATCGACAACTATGAAACTATGATCCCATCCCCGACACAAACGGTACATTGTGAGACAGGAAATTGTAGAGAGAAACAAGCCCTATAACATAGGATACAACATTTTAATGAACAGTGCTTTCCATAAAATCAATAAAATGAAAAAATACGAAATAATATACATGTACTGATTTCTTTCGAAAATCGAAAACTATGAAACTATGATTCCCAAAAAACATACATTCTTTCTAATTTTTGAATACTTGCTGTGTCATAATAAACCAAATTTATATATTTTCGGTATCAAATTCCTGCTAAAGCTTTTCATTACCTTCAAACAAACAGAATTCCCTAGCTAGGTATATATTTACTGAAATCAAAGATAAACAAAGTTGGAAACAGTATAAACTTCATTAGGAGAGGTAAAGCAAATAGGTATGTAGGCACTGTGGCGCACTCTGTAACAGAATTGATTTTTTTTATCCTCTAAATGTATTTAAACAATAAAATTACTAACTGTTAGTTAAACATATTCAGACACGAAATATTTTTTTAAAACATATTATCCTTAGCTAATCAGTAATCAACATATGTCATAATAATAACTTTTATAAAAGATTTCACAGTATAACACTTTGGTATAACTATACATTTTTGCATTTTAATTTGTTTAAACATAAATTAGTTACTATTTAACAAACAGATCTCGAAAAATATGTATTTTGCCATGCACGTTTTCCTCAAACTAACAACAAACTGATATAAAAGACATCAATAAGTTATAAATCAATATTTAATTGACTATATATCGGTTCCAGGCGATATTTGCTATAGATATTATAAGAGTACTTCAATGAAAACAGTGAAAAATATCAGATAACCATAAAGTAGTACCATGGGAGATATATATGACAAAAAACTGTGAAAAAAATATCTAAAAAAAAGTAAAACCACCAAGAACAAACACCATATAACATAAAGCTTAGCATAAATTAAAAAAAAATATTTCATGTACAGATATTTTAAGCTTTGTAATGTTACCACTTTAGTTAGTAGAGGATATCCAAAGTGACTTCGGGATTATTATAGAGTATACAGGGTGCTTCAAAAAAATGTGGGGAATATAACATTAGTTTTTTTTAAATGCAAGACCCTATTTTTAATTTTATTTTTAGATTCTGCGTAAAATTCCATAACTTTTTTATATATAACGTTATATACCTAAAATTAATAGCTTTTATAATATTTAAATTTGTTTAAACATATGTTAGATTGCGGTGGACAAGTTTGGACAACTAATATTTCGTAGGAGAATTTTATAGGGATATAGAAAAAGACCTATGTAAAGATATTTGAGTTAGATGCCACAGGGTGTTCAAAATATATTTATGAATTTCAACTACTTAAAATTAAGAAATTTCAAATTTTTTAAACGGTACACCGTATTGTCATCTTTTATAGAATAGAAATACACCAAGAAATTCACGACAGCGATTTAGTTTATTTGAGTAAAAGTGAATTAATCTTAACTAATACCAGCAATTGTAACTAATTATTAAGCTACTTGTTAAAGTAAGTAATAAATAGTTTTGCTTTGTCATGACAACTATGATTTTATAGGTTAATAATTGTATTAAAAATATAGGTAAAAATAGAAAAAATGGGAATATATCGCAAACTATTAAAAATAGGTATATGACATACTTAATAAAAGTTGAAGAGTTTTGTAAAATCTATCAAAAAAAATTATAATATACAGGGTTGTTCACCATATACGACACGGAGTATTGTGGCTAAACGGTAATATTTTTACAAATTGTAAGTTTTGAGTTTGTTGAAGGACTATTAGAGCTACAATTTAAAAATATTTTACAAGATACAGAGTGTCCCAAATAATTAAAAAATATCAAAGTTGTATCTTTTTAAATGGAACACCCTGTATATTATTACATTTTTAGTGTCTACGATTAAAAT